GGCGCAGTCGGGGCTTGACCCGATCCACTATGTCACGCTGCCCGGAGCCGCCTGGGACGCCATGCTGCGGCACTCGGCCCGCGAGACTCCCATTCACCTCTCACCAGCGAGCAGGCCTACAAGGATGTGCGGGCCTCTGTCATGGGAGGGCTGAGCTGCATCTTCCAGCCCTTCGCTCAACAACAACCCCGAGCTGGGCAAGGAGGACTACAACCCCGAAAAGCCCGTCAGCTGGATCTCCTTCTTGGACTTCAACGCCATGTACCCAGCCGCAATGACGCTGCCCATGCCCAACGGCCCCTGCGAGACGGTTGCCCTGCCAGAAGAAAACGCCGCAAGGCTGAGCTGCGCAAGACGTGCCTCTCCGGGCTGGACTGGGTGAGCTACCTGCTCCTCGTGGACTACGACTTTCCCCCGGAGGTGCACGACCACTTGGACTGGCGCGCATGATGGTCGGGAAGGGCCTGTGCGGCCCGCGCACGGCGGACATGGCGGAGCGGCCTCGGCATCTCCCCGACGCCCTGCGAGAAGCTCGCGCCCTTCCTCGGCACGCACGTAGAGGAGGCGTGGACGGCAAGCGGCTCAAGTTCCCGGGACGTGCTGGGCGCCAGGATCTGGAGGCTGCACAGAGCCTACCGCTTCGCCTGCAGCCCCTTCATCGCGGGCTTCATGGAGCTCAAGCACAGCGAGCGGAGGCAGCTCAAGACGGGGGAGCGTGGTCGCCGAGAGGTGGTGAAGCTCACCCAGAACGCCATCTTCGGCCGCTGCTGCATGAACCCCGACAAGTTCAGGAACACGAACGCCTACGTGGACCCGGCCAAGTTCGAGCGGGCCGTGGGCAAGAGCTCCGTGACGAACTTCGAGCTCTCGGAGGGGTTCCTGGCCTTCGTGGAGACGCTCAAGACGAACCGCAGCAAGGCCTGCATGAGTGTGCCCACCCAAGTCGGCGCCCGCACGCTGCCTCATGATGGAGAAGGCCTACTACCTCCACATGAGGAGGCTCTTCCCGAAGATGAGGCTGCTCTTCACGGACGCCGACTCCGTGATGGTGCAGATCTTCGAGCTGCAGAGGACCCCCTCCACAACATGGGCGAGGTGAACCTGAGCGGCGGCACCCTCTTCGACGTGGCCGGCAAGTCCAAGCTGGGCAAGCTCGGCGACGAGACCTTCCCAGCCAGGATCCTCGAGCACGTCGGCCTGCGCTCCAAGATGTACAGCATCCTCACGGTCCAGCCCGACGGCGCTCGCAAGGAGAAGCGCAAGATCAAGGGCGTGCCCAAGAAGGCGGTGACCAACGTCCGGCATCTCGAGTACAGGGAGGTGCTGGAGGAAGGCAGCGAGCGCAGGGCGGCCTTCGCGCAGCTGCGCAGCCGCGCGCGCGAGATCGCCGTGGAGACCGTCGAGAAGAAGTCCCTCTCGCCCTTCAACGACAAGGTCTACGGCCTCGACGCTCGCAACTCGCGCCCGCTGGGACACTGGCGCAACCTGGAGCAGCTGCGGATGCTGGGCGCTTACGCTCCGCCCGGCTCCACGCCCTTCGACCTCGTGATGGAGTTCCTCGTGGGGCCCCCGCCTCTGGGGCCCACTCCGACACTGCCGCTGCGGCTGAGCCGATGCTGGGCGTAGACTGTCGGAAAAAAAAAGATCCTGAGCTCTCGTTTTCTCGCTTTCTCGCTAATACTTATTCGATCCGCCGCAGCTGCTCAAGATGACTTCCTCAATGGCCTTCCGTTGCGTGGCATGGCTTATGGAGAAGCCCGCCGCGTGGGTGGGCGAGGACGCTCCCAGCCTTGCGGCCGCTCTGATGGTCCAGCGGCCTCCTGACGACGTGCTGCGCAAGCGGCCTCGCGAGGATGCGCTGCTCGAGGTAGACAGTAAAACTAGAGTAGTAAGGAAAGGCAGCTTATAGGGACTTAATTATTTGGGTTTTTTGGTCCAAAAACCGTGCAAAACTGCATAATTTTCAACCAGCTGAACTCGTCACCAGCGATGTCACCGCTTCGTCACCGCTCCGTTTTTGGTGCAAAAAGCGCTCAAAACGGCAAACTCCGAAAAGTTCGTTTTTTCGTGTCAGACGTCAAATGTGGTGCCTGAGCCTCCAAATTCGCTCGTTTTCGGTCGAAATCAGGCTCCAAACGTTCGCCGTGCTCTGGATTCCGTTCTCAGCCCCGGAAAAGCAGGCAAATTCCAGCCCGCTGAGCTTGTCACCGTTTGCCTCCGCTTTGTCACCGCTCGCTTTTGGGTCGAAAAAGTGCGCAAAAGCGACCCAGTTCCCGAGCTCCGGAGTCGCAGGGTTTTCCGCGGCCCGACAGCCCGCCGAGGACCTGGCTCGGAGCGCGGCAGCCCGCCGAGGTTTCGGATTGTGACACGTCAGCCCGCCGAACTTGTCACCGTTTTTGTCACCGCTCCGTCTGGCTCCGTTTTTGGTGCAAAAAGCGCTCAAAACGGCCAGCTCCGAAAAGTCCGTTTTTCGTGTCAGACGGCAAGTGGGATGCCTGAGCCTCAAGTTTCGCTCGTTTTCGGTCCAGACGCTCACTTTGCTCAGGATTCCGCTTTCAGCCCGGAAAACAGGCGAATTCCATCCCGTCGAGGTTGTCACCGTTTGTCACCGCTTCGTCACCGCTCTCTTTTGGGCCGAAAAGTGCGCAAAAGCGGCCAAGTTCCCGAGAGGACTTCTTCGTTGGCAAGTTTGAGTCAGTAATGGAACGGGCCGATTTATTAATGGGGCAAGGTTGGTTCATCAATGCCCAGGTCATCACCACTGAGACAAGAGGTGCTAGCGAGGCAGGTGGCTTCGGTCTGAAAGTCCCACCGAGGTAGGAATTCCGACTTTGCTCCGCACCGAGGTCGGGATTCCGACTTTGCTCCGCAGGAATTCCGACTTCGCTCCAAGCTTCCGATTTTGCCCGAAAAATCCTTCCGTCAGCAATGCCATGGAGATAGCCTGGTGTGGGCCGGGGCCTCCTTGCCCTCGGGCCATCGTCCATCCGCTCCAGCGCGCGCCGCAGCGTCGCGGCGCCGCCGTGGCTCCGCGCGGAGATGCCCAACACAATGTGGTCCCAGCGGCAGACGCCCAGGTCCAGCATCGCAGCCAGCGAAACCTTTGGGTACCAGCCGGGCCCCACGTACGGCGCAGGCCCAGGTGAGAGTAGTAGTGCTGGCCCGCCCGGGTCAGCTGCCCGTCCGCGCGCGAGAGCAGCGCGTAGGCCCCAGGTCCGCGCCGCAACGGCTCCATCCGCCCCCGTGCGAGCCCGGGCGCCGCCGTCCGCGGCCTCCGTGATCTGTTGTCGTTGTCTTGCCCAACTTGCCATTCTTTTTTGACGGGTCCATTTTTTTTGTCCGGCCGCGCCGCACTCTCCCCGACCATCTGTGCGCAGATGGTCGGGGAGAATAGGTTTTTACACGTTTTTGCATGGCATGGCGTGATTTTGCATGTTGTTGGCATTTTGCTTGATTGTGCTTGGCATGATTTTGCATGGATTTTGCATGTTGTTGGCATTGCTTGCTTGGCATGTACCCCCCAAACCCCGAAGTTTTTTATCCTGTCATGTGTGGCGAAGAAGCGCGGTCTGGCGCTGGGGGATGCGCCAAGCAGGCGTGTAGGAAGGCTACGGGCAGGCGTCAAACGCCGAACAGACGTTTTTTTCACCCGCTTCCCAGTCCACCGTTCCAGCCTCGCGATTTCCGTCTTCCTCTGAGAAAGCTCCTCGCCTGTGAGCTCGCGCCCGAAACCGTAGTTGCGGCGCGTCCGACCGGTGGCCACTTTGGTTCGCAAATTCGTGAGTCTGCACAAGAGAGGCGACCTGTATTGTTTCGCCATGGCGAAATGAAGTGAGCCACGGGAGGCACAAAACATGGCGGGATTCATCGCGCTGCAGATGTCAAAGATGTGGGGGATGTTCGACGGTGGGGAAAAGAGAACGATCGATGCCGCTCTCGAAGGGAAGCGCGCTTGCCCATACCACAACGACTTCGGGAAGTGCCCCAACATGACAGAGATTGATCAGGAAGGGATCCTTTTGCCATCAACGGTACTGAAGATTTCCCAATCTCAGAGTGTTCGAGAAAGGACCTTCCGGTCGGCTGAGGAGCGCAACAAATACATCTGTTATTTGGTGTACAAATGCGAAGGGCTATACATATTCTACAAGCTGTGGATTGCAGCGAAGATCCTCGACATCACCAAAGACGAAATGAAGCTCCTGGTCAAGGATCGCATACACCCGGTGGGTAGGGAAGGCTTGAACCTTGGCAGATATGGTTATTCGGTCAACGTGAGCGCCATTATTGCGGCCACTGACTCGAACAAATGTGACGCACCCCTGCTAGATTGGTGTCTCCGAAAGGGGCATTGGCTACCAGAGGACCATCACAAGAAATGCGTCAGGGCGCGAGAAGCCCAAAAGAATTTGGATGAAGAGTTCCCACCAATAGGCTGTCCATTGGGGACAGATATGCGTGATACAGGCGTGGATAATCATTGCTTTTGCGTATAGGTCCTTGGACATGTGTAAATCCTGAGACATTGGTCCACGCCCGCCATGTTTAATCCTCAAGATTCTTTTGCTTTAGGGGTTCATGCTTCCTCGAAGTGCCTTTGTCGCTGGGTGGATTTTTGGCTGGTGGCATCATCGTCCTCCTCCAGATCTTGGGTCCGAGACCGCAGCTCTGAAGGAGGAGATCAAGAAGGCGTTTGACCTCATTCAGGAAATCCGGGAGGTGAGGGCAAGTTGTGAGTGGGATTTGTGGTGGCAAGGCTGGGTGCTTCGATTCAACTGGCTGTTTGAGCTGGGGCTCCTCATCTTCTTGCTCTGGTTGTGGAGGCCGTGGGCGCGAGCCCAAGCGCCTCAGCCGCCTCTGTCACTGGCAGAGTTTGAGGACTCCTCAGACAGCGACGATACTCCCATTCGGGGGCCTAGTTCGACCACACCCTATCCAGAGATCCATTCACGGAAGCCGTCGCGGGGTATCACCCGCCCCTCAGATTTGATTCGCAACTGATGGCGGACAACACACTGGATTGTCCTGAAGTTCAAGTCCTAGTCAATTACCCCAATGATGCGGCGGGGTTCTTTTGGCATCACCGAGTTCTTCTGCACAGGGTCGAGGGGGCCAAGTGGCTGGCCTTGACTCCTGATCACGAGATTCAGCTTCACGATCTGAGCCTTGAAAGACACAAGATTCTGGACAGACGAGCTCCCTTCCCAGCGGACCTTGTCCCGACCATCTACGCTCATGATCCCATAGGCCGGGCGGTTCTGTCCACCTACAAGCGGCGAGCAAAGGTACAAGCCGTGGTTCTGGGCCAGGGAGACTTGGAAGAGTCCGAGGCCTTTGTTTGGGTCGTCAGCCAGTCCGGGCACCGGAAGTTCGGGGAGGAGGTTGACGCTACCCTCCTGGAGGATGAGACCAGCGGTCTGGCCTTTTCTGCAAAAGGCGTGGTGGTCCTGGACGGGGAGGAGGTGTTTGTCGAGAAGGTGGAGGTGCAGAAGATGGAGGCATGGCGCAAGGACCGCATGCTGGAAGGCGGAGATGCTCGACTTCTGGGGGATCACCGAGATGCTTCTGGTCGCAGGCGGCTGGATCTAGCCACTGCCGTGGAACTCATGAAGTCCGAGCCGGATGACGAGTTTCCCATTTCAGGCGTGCGAGCGGCCAAGGAGCTGCATGATGCCATTTGCTCAGGCCCTGGAAACCTCGTGTCATACCACTCTGAATGGCTGAGATTGTCCGGGGTCTCCAGGAAATCAAGCGCAGCCCATATCCACAGCTCGCTTTGTGAATGTCTTCGGCTCCTCCACTCCTACGACCAAATCGACGCCTCCTCTACCGCAGTTGGGGAGCACCTTTCAAGGTGGATGGTGCAGACTGAATTGGCGGTGGAGAGGAACCCCATGGCCCCGGATTACGCGGGCTTGGACATCGTGGCGGGCGCCGCCGTTCAGGCCGATGGACGGGCCAGCACAGGCCGGTTCAACGAATGGGTCTCGTCCCGTCTTCGAGAGCGAGCCCAGATCTGGAAGCAGGAGCGACTCTATGCTCAGGAACGCCGCGGCCTCCGGGGCAAGAAAGGTGGTGGCAAGGGTGACGAGTCAGACTCTGAGAATGAGCCCGGGAAGAACAAGCAGAAGAAGAAAAAGAAGGGCGGCAAGCCCGGAGATGGCGGGGGCAAGGGCTCCCGCGGAGACGCCTAGCTTTTTGGTTTTTCGGGGCTGGTTGCTGCCGGGGTGCGCCCCGTCCAGCCCGACATGGCAGCTTCTGCATGGGACGAATTCGACCAACGATGCGCCTCGGCCCACCGCCGCCACGGGGATCCCTTCCCCCTTCCGCGGCTTGGCCGGCCGAGGCGATCGTCCTCGCTGACGCGGAGGATTGACAATGCCTGTGGCAGTTTGAATCAGCTCTCCTCAGCAGTTTTTCAACAGACCTCTTCCCCTACCACCTCATCAATCCTTCCTTTGACAAGTGTACAGCAGTCGATGATGCAGGATATTGCGAGAAGGGTGGAGTCCTATGGCGGCCGTCCTGACAACTTGGATGAAGAGGCCGCGCTTCGGGACATGAGGGACAAAGCCAACCTGTACGGTCAGGAAGACAAGAATGTTGTGCCTATGTGTTTGGACCGCATCAAGATCCTTCAGAGGAGCCTTGACCCGATCCCTGCAATGGAGTTGGCTTCTCCAGAAGCGGGGGCCTTCCTCAGAGGCTTCGAGACCATGATTGAGCGGCCGGCTGAAGAGCTTGAAGCCCTCCGCAGCTCTGGCGGTTTGGTGGAACCTTACTGGGATGCGGGGCTGCGGAAGGACCGGGGTCGGCGAGTCCAGCTCTACCAGATGCTCTGGAAGTCAGGGCTCTTGGATTTTCGAAGGAGGAGAAAGGCTCGAGTCGGGCTGTTCACAGTTCGGAAGAAACAGAACTGGCAACGATTAATTGTGGATGCCAGGCAGGCCAATTTTCTGCAGCAGGCACCACCCACAGCACGACTAGCCACAGCTGCGGGACTGGCTGCAGTTGATCTCTCGGCTCATAGTTTGGGCATCGACGTGGAGGCAGAGGGTTACGAAGGGCCGGCTGGGGAAACTGGGGATGTCGGGGATTGCTTTTACAACTTCAAGGTTGACAGTCTTACCAGCTGGTTTGGGACCGACGACATCTTCACCCCCCTTGAGCTCCGCACCTTTGGGATTGTGGTGGATTCCATTTATGATGATGACCTTCGGGGATATTCATCTGTTGACCCTCAGGAGCCCCTGTATGCATGCTTTTCAGGTGTACCGATGGGATGGTCCTGGGCATTGTGGCTGGCCCAGGATATTGTCTGCCATCAGTCTCTCCTGGCTCTGGGTCTTTCTTCAGACTCCCTGATTCGCGATCGGTGCCCAGCTCCGCAGGTGAAGCCAGGGAGCCCAGCGGTGGGCATCTACGTTGACAATGTCCATGTGTTCGCAGCTGCAGTCCAGGAGGCGAGAGATGCCATGGACAAGATCCAAAATCATTTTTCAGAATTGGGCATCCCTTTCGAAACGGACCACGTTGCTGGCAAACCATCTATGGACACCTTGGGCTTAACCTTTGAGTTTGGCAAAGAAGTTCGAGTCCGGGCTCGTTCAGACAGAGTGTGGAAACTCTGGGGCGCCACCCGCGCGCTCATCCGTCGGCGAAGGATCAGCGGGGATGTTCTTCGTGTTTGGCTGGGGCATGTGAATTTCCATTTTCAGTTATCCAGGCCTGCTTTATCCGCTATTTCTGCATGTTACAAGTTTGTGGCAGATCATGTGGGGCACCGACACCCTATGTGGCCGTCTGTCCGGAAAGAACTGAAGACGGTGCTGGGGCTTCTCTTCATTACCGAAAAATCACTCTCAGCCGAAGTCTGTCGGGATGTCCATTTGGGGGATTCTTCGGATCGCGGTTTTGCTTTGATGACCACCGAAGCCTCTGTTTGCCAGATCCGGCGAGAACTACGGTACAGTGAGCGCTGGCGTTTTGTGCAGAGCCCTGGTAGTCTCGACGCACAACCCTTGGGAGAAGATCTCTGGGATGCAGAAAGCCCCGCAGACGAGGCGGATATTTATCACAAAGGATCTGCTCCTTACGCGGGTGTTGGCAGCCGTACTGAATATGGGCAAGCCCTTGACAATAAGTACAACCAAGCAGTTGAAGACCCCGTTTTTCAAAGCCGTCGTGACAGACTTTTTGGGACTCCACGGACTCGACCCCCAACCATGCTGGAGGTTTTCCCTGTTCCTGAGGTATCCAACTTTTGGCATGACGCTACTAGGTGGGACCTTCTAGTTTCTTCTCCTTGGCAACACGTCAACGTGAAGGAAGCCCGGGTGTGTCTCATGGGCCTGCGGAGATTGTGCAGGACGTCTGTCAACCTCGGGAAGATTGCCTTGACCCTAACGGACAACCTGGTTTCGGCCCTTGTTTTTGAAAAAGGGAGATCCTCTTCAGGGCCCCTCAATGCTTTATGTCGTAAAGCGGCTGCGTATTCTTTGGGTGGTTCCATCCAGTGGAGGCTGAGACACATCCGGAGTGAACACAATTGCGCGGATGCGCCTTCAAGACGGTGGGGGTCGGACCTACCACGAGTCAAGAGGCCGTTGCCTTCTCCTTTTCTGGGCAGACATCTTACTGCCGCCTCTTTGGAGCAGACTACAGAGAAGGCAATGGGCTCTATGGCTCGCGGTGAAACCCCTCCAACTGTGGCGCAGTCCACGCGCCCATTCCGCAAGGCGCCCCCGAGATATGTATTGGAACTATTCTCTGGCTCAGCTGTTTTGACACAAGCATTAAAAGGACATGGCATGCGTACTCTCCCTGACATTGACATTTCCAAAGGCAAGGCTTTTGACTTGACTATTCCTCGGGTGCAGTCTTACATTTGCAGTATGTTGAAAGCAGGGATGATTTGGTACATCCACATGGGGACTCCTTGCACAGTTTTTTCCCGGGCTCGGCACAACATCAAGGACTTCCGCAAGGCGCGGCAAAAGGAGACTTTAGGGGTCGCTTGCGCTCTGTTCTCTGCAGAAGTCGCCCGGCTATGCCTACGGAAAAACATATGGTTTTCTCTGGAGAACCCTCTCGGCAGTCGACTTTGGGAATTTGGGCCCATCCTTGAGCTCTTGAAGAACAAGTGCATTTGTTTTGTGCAGTTCACCATGTGTGCTTACAACACGCAATTCAAGAAGCCGACGGGTTTGATGACCAATTGCCCCCACCTTTCCAGGCTGCAGGCGTTTTGCCCGGGAAACCATGCGCATACAGTTCTCAAAGGGACGGAAAGAGTTAAGATTGATGGGAAGTGGCTGAGCCGAAACCGCACGACAGGTGCGGGTGAGTATCCGCGCAAGCTCTGCCAAACCTGGGCTCAGATTCTTTTTGAACAGGCCCCGACCGGCAGTTTGGGCAGAACGTCGTTCATTGCCCGCAATGACTTTGAGGCAAACTTGCACGAGGCGGCCAATATCAGCGGCAGTCAGGGCCAACCTGACCTTGGCCCAAGCTGCTCGGCTGGGTGCTCGGAGAATGCCAGTCCAGTCTTCAATCAAGCACGGAAGTACATCCAGACTCACTCCGTCATCTTTGGCCAGTTCACCAAGGATCAAATCCGACGCGAGCAGTGCAAAAGGTCCAACTAGGCGCACTCTGACCCGGACCTGTGTGGGCCTTGATGGAAAGCCACTTCCAGCTTCCCTACAACTCAGGGCCCTCAAGGTCACGCCAAGCACACTTCATCGGTACCAATGCAGTATCAGAGATTTTGAGACTTGGGCGGCAGGAAAACAGTTGGCTGTGAACAAGGGCAACTTGGACCAACGGGTGAATCAGTACCTCACCCATTTGTTCATGCACGGGGCTGAAACCTCAGCTGGAACATATCTGGTGTTCGGCCTTCAACTGTTGAGATGCGAGGGTGACAAGAAAGCATTTCTGCCGATCAGCAAGGAATCCTTGACTGGCTGGAGGAAGCAGAGGCCTGGTTCAATGCGTCTGCCAGCGCCAGAAGAAATTGTGTTTGACTTTGCCTACGCGGCTTTGGAAGAAGACCGCGCAGACATTGCTATGGCCCTCTTGCTGCAGTATGACTGCTACTTGAGACCGTCAGAATGCCTGGGACTGACAAAAGATCATCTGGCTGCTCCGGTGGGCGGGCGATATCGACATTGGGCCATCATTATAGCGCCTTTTGAGTTGCAACAAGCTTCAAAGACTGGTTCCTATGATGATTCCATCTTGGTGGCAGATAAACCGGACAGGGCGTGGCTCTCCTCGGCCCTGACCATGTTTTGCAAGATGAGCGAGCATGAGTTGTTCCCAAATCTCAATCTGTCGGCCTATGAAAGATGGTTCCATGTGACAGGCAGAAATTTGAGCTATAAATCGTCAGTGGTCATGCCTCACGTGCTTAGGCACTCTGGAGCTTCCAACGACGTGTTCCAAAGGCGCCGGGATCTGCGTGCCGTCCAAAAACACGGTCGTTGGAAAGCCAGATCTTCAGTGTCACGCTACGAAAAAGCTGGGCTCCTGGTCAAACGCTGGTCCGAAGCAAGTGCCAGCCGACGGCAAACCATTCGAGAAAGAGCTCAGTCACTGCCGGAAATACTCCTCCAGCGCCTGCGCTTCCAGCAGGCCAAGGCCTAGCACATGCATGGGTATGGGTCTTGATGTCAGAGATTTCACCCCTCTTTTCGAGCAGCTGCAGAATTCTTGCGGCCGCCATTGGGGCATGCTGGCGCCTTTGAAGAAGGCAACGCAGTCAGACATTCAAGTGTGTGAACTTCGCTCGTGGTCTGAGACAAAGTGAAAGTTTCTGAGCCTGGGCGTGGGTGAAGAGGCAGTGGATTTGTATAGGTCCTTGGACATGTGTAAATCCTGAGACATTGGTCCACGCCCGCCATGTTTAATCCTCAAGATTCTTTTGCTTTCCCGTAGCCAACCCTCCGCCTTCCGGGTCTTGATGTCAGAGATTTCACCCCTCTTTTCGAGCAGCTGCAGAATTCTTGCGGCCGCCATTGGGGCATGCTGGCGCCTTTGAAGAAGGCAACGCAGTCAGACATTCAAGTGTGTGAACTTCGCTCGTGGTCTGAGACAAAGTGAAAGTTTCTGAGCCTGGGCGTGGGTGAAGAGGCAGTGGATTTGCAGATATGCGTGATACAGGCGTGGATAATCATTGCTTTTGCGGTATGGTGCATTCATCAGCAGCAATACATGAAATTCACTCCGATGTTGATTGCAGCATGATGTGGGCTAGTCCCCATTCATCGCTTGCGTCTCATCGACTTTGCTATGATGGAACATTTCTTTGACATGATATGATTTCATGTGTCCAAGGTGAATGGATGTGCAGAAATTTACATGTCCCGACGATTATGACATTCCGGATCTTCATGGATGTGCACTATTACCTCATGGATGATTTCTTTTTCCTTATATTATTCGTGGTATCTGGAATGGCTATGTTTGCATATGTTGCTCGCCAAATCCTCTTTGCCAATGATATTCAGATGACTCATGACCGTGCGCTACTATGGATTTCTATGGCCAACCCATTTCTGTGGATGACGGCTGCGCGATGCGCAAATGCGGCAGCCAGGATTTCAAGTCGTTGCGTATTGGCTCGAGGCAGAATGTCTCTTGCATCTGAGTATAGGAATGTGCTACGATTTGCGGATGCATGTTTCTGTCTTGATCGGACCTGGCAAGTTTCACAATGAATGGACGGTGTAGCAATAGTGAATGAAAGAGTGTTCGACACAGTTTCGTAGTCGGAGCCGTGGCCATTGGAACGTGTTGTTACACAGCTGGAGGGTTCGGTGGACAGCGTCCCACGGGACGTCACCTTGCCGTCTCTTGACAAGAACGTTGCCCCAAGGCCCCTATGCATTTCACTGTGCACTTTTTCTATGCATGCGTCTATGCATTTCACTGTCTACTTTCCCTATGCAGCTGAGCTGTGCAGAACGCAACGACTTTACCGGAAGAGCCTTCGCAATTCTTTCGGGAAAAACACATGCGCAGGTCGTGCTGACAGTAGCGTGAGACCTTAAAAACCTTGATGGCCGTTGCTCAACCTCCTTGAAAAACCCTTGAGACGGCGGAGGCAATTACCAAACCCAGGCGGCCTTAAATGAGCGAGTTCCAAATCGCCGGCTATTCCTTGGGCTTGGTTGTCCAACCTTGCGGTTGCTCCACCCCTCGCAAACCTTGTCGAACTCGTGAGCCTCAGATGGCCGTTTCCGAATCGCAACTCCGCATTTTGCCAGGTGCCTTCCAGCAGGCTTCATGACAACGCGCACGCCCACAAATTACGGCTACTTTCCCACGCTCAATGAAAGGAACAAAGAAGGACAGATGTCGCAATGACCAGGCAGCGCGTGCTTTGACAGGGTTCGCAAAGTGAGCGGGAAGACTGGTGAGCTTTAGACACTCAAAGCCACACCCAAGCCCAACAAAAGGTAGCAAGCTCTTCCACTGCTTCCAGGCGCAACCCCAACCTTTGCACAAACAGCGGAAATCGTTCCAGAAAGACACTTTCGTAAGAAGGCACCCCTCACGATCTGTGGTCATCGGAATCCACACAATGCGAGACCGCAGCCTGCTCTCAGCGGGAACAAGGTCAATCTGTTCCCGGCTTTGTTTGCTTGCGCGTGGGGTGACGCACGCCGGGGTGACTCTTTCTAGCACATGTGGCGGCGACAGGTACGATCGGAGTGTTATAGTAGTAGAAGGTTTGGGCACGCCACACTGCTTGTTGAAGCGCCGTAATGGGGCCCGCGTCAGCGCAGCGTTGGTGCAGCTTCATGTTCGGTATTGGTGAGTCCACATTCACTGCGATGTGTGGTATGGTTTGGTGCTTGGGATGTTGCGCATTGTTACTTACACACTTGGGTGCACACAGTCAGACTGGGACTGTTGTGGCCGGCTTGCAAGTAAGTGACGATATCCGGTGTCACCGTCGACATCCGAAAGGAAACAATCAGCGGGGAAGTGAACATCAGCTTGATTGAAGTCGCCGCCAATGAGAATTTGGCGGTCTGAACAGTTGTTCTGAACGGCAGAGGGAGACCGTACAACGTCTTGTTGCTAGTCAAATTGAGCGTAACACTAAAGAGCCAGGTCTGAGGATGGCGCATGGGAAGCCGAGCGGCAGCAACACCACCGGGCAGCGCCTGATGGGGTTTGACGGCTCATAGCTGGGTGGCAGCAGGCTTGCGGCGCCGCAGTGGCAGATTCGATTTTTGCGGTGCGGCGGCGAACGAGTTTGGTGCAACATGAGGGTGGTCGTCGCTCCATCCCTGGGCCTGCAAGGAATGACCGAGGCCACCACCTATGTTTGTTCCACTTGCGTCGTTGAATTTGCACGTCCAACATTCGATCTGAATGCAACGGCACAGTGAGGTAACATAGATGAAGGCATATTGCAACCTCCTGCTTGCAGAGAGACAAAGACACGAGGAGGCTCAAGAACGATGGACCAGTTGGGCTGTGATCAACTGAAGGCTGTCCGCCTAGACAATTGAAATATACTGTAGGTGCACAACAACAACTTGCAAATGAGCCCAGGCAGATCAACAACTATTTGGTGACTTCAGTCGTAGGGTGAAGATGTTGACCCTCCATCACCGCAGCCGCAATTGCTTTGTGGGGTCACAGTCCAAGGAAGCCAGAACTCCCTGCAAATGTGCAATGTAAATCCTTCATCGTTTGTGTCGCCGCCAAGCGGTTTGAACAGCTTGCCACCTGACGTGTCTCAACGATTTTGCGTGGAACGGCTTCGTAAATGTGCGCAGTTTTGAAATCCAACATTGACCTTCGCTGCATGTTTCACCAAGAGCTCATAATTCACTTTCTTTCTTGCATGAGCCTTAGGGTTTGGGGTCGATGGTACAAAAGGACTTATTCGTTTGTTGACCTTGTCAAACCCACCACCACATGTTGAAATGTGTGCAGTGTGAAGCAACTATTCAAAGCAGTTTTGAGCACTTTTACCCATGCTGTTTTTTTCCAAGTTGGTAGATCCATATTCATGCTGCATTTTTGCTCATGCCATTTGACTGATCAAGCATAAACACATTGTTTGTCATGGTTTCGGAAGTACCCAGCAAGCGACTACGTGGCTTTATAAGATATTCCAGGGTTGATGTTTAAACTTCATTCTCAATCTGTTGGCTGAATCGTACATCGGCAACACACGTCCGAGTCAACAGACTCAATAGTTTCCTGCGCAGCACCTGAATACCTAATGATTGGGACATGGCCTTGGCATATTTCTGGCTCCTTCAGGCAGGAGAATTGATGCGTTTCCATGCTGCACTCTCATTGCTTTTGCAACGCTTGCAAAGACTTCGACGCAATTTGCTTTGAACCTCGTGACATGGGCTAGCATATGATACGCATTGACTGGTGGATGGCCAGTTCGGATATTGGCAACTCAATTTTGAATCTGTCAGGGACTCTTCTTGCATAGCCAGGCAGGCGGTGTTCGAATGCCATGTGGCGTTGCTAGGTGAGCTTGTCAGTTGGACTGGCCACCCTGGACTCTTGCAGGCGACTACTACAACAGCAACGACTTCTACAACTACGACCTACAATGGCGGCACCGAAATCACATTCACCATCCTTTCTTGTGGAGCAGACTACACGCTAGCCGCCACCACAGTCTGGCGCTTGGTGAGCGAAAGGCCACACAGGCATACCCCAGCATGATCCTGGCAAAAAAGCTGTTTCGTAGCCTTGTGTTTTGGAAGTTCTGTGGAGGAGTGGCGCTGTAGATTGTATTCCCGAGGACGGCACTCCACTGACATGGGGATTCCCGCTGAGTGAACGGCCAAAGGTCCGGTGCTTTTTGCTTGGCAACATGCATAGAGCAGCATACTGCTGTTTCTAATTGTTGGACTACCTTTGATGGCCAGCTTGCATTCTGCTGCAGCCAATATGCATCAATGGAATCTTCATATCAGCACATTAAACGATTGACAACCTTGAGTTGACGCTCATCCGTCAAGGCAGACAGGACCTTTTAGTGGATTGCTTTTTGGTTAACCATGCACTTTTCGTATTTCCTCAAGCATGTGCACCTGAACAGCAGCAGTCTAGGAGTTGCTTGCTCTGCATGACATGGCGTTGCTCATGGTGCCTCGAGGGTGCATTGTCCAAGCTCGAGTTTCCGCGGCCTGGCAGCCAATTTGTTCGTGCCACGCGTTTTCAGCCATTCGTTACCCAGTTACATTCAGGTGGAAGCCAGTCGACCTATATGGGGATGACTCGCCAGTTTCTTGTTTGCATGCAGATGCAGTTGACGCAATGCCAAACTGAATTTTGGCTGTGCCGGCAGAGAGAACAAGTTCGGCCTTTGCACTGGCCAGGTGTTTGCGAACCGGAAGGACTTGCTTGAACTGGTGAACCAACTGGAGAGCATTCAAGAGAGCCGTGTTGCCGTTGATCAGTGCCTGCTAGCAGATCTAATTAGAGCCTTGTATCTAATCTACGCATTCACTTCACTGTCATTGCATGCTGGCTGAGATTGCTTTTGCAAGCAATGAGTTTGGACATATTCTGCAAGCCTTCTCAGCCCTGGTCATCCAGTCTTTGCAGCAGTTCAGGAAGATATGATGCGCGGAGCGCGGCAAATCGAGTACGAACTACATCTGTGGTGGTACAGTCAGAGTTGCCTGAAGTCGAAGACCGTGAGTACAAGATGCTTCCACTGCCTACTGCAGCAATGCGTCCCATTCTAGAAGGCTGGTCTTTTGTCTTGGTTTCGTCTTTTGCGCTTGTGTCATTTCAGTACTTCTTTTTTTTCTTCTGGCAGGAACGACCAGCTCCCAGTTGCTTCAGCACTTGAAAGAGGACTTTGATTTGCCGCTCCATCCGCATTTCGTGATGCGGATCCTGGAGATGGCTATCAAGGCCTATGGCAAGCGGAACGAGCAGCAGGGCCCGCTGTTCCGGGTGTCTTTGCCGGACGGAGGCGGCAGAGATGGCTTCGTGCCTGACGTGGAGCTCCAGGAAAACGCTTCATGCGACGCGCCGAGGACGGGAGGGCGGGCAGATTCGACCGCCTCGCCTCGTCTTTCGATTTCGGAGGATTGTGGTTCTGGGCGACACCCACGGCCAGCTTGGAGATGTCTTGTGGGCTATTTCCCAGTTTGGTCTGCCGAGCCAGAAGAATGTGTATGTGATTAATGGAGACATTGCGCTCCAGTCTCAATAGAGTGTTGTATCATTGGGCATGGATCAGTGATCAGCTACAGTGCAAACATTGTGGAATGCCGCAACCGGCAACCGACTCTGAGGCGGACAGATGTGACTGGTCAACAGAAATATTCATGCTGTTGCTCACGATCACTTTGCAGTATCCCAACGATACCGTCATTGTGATGAATCGGGGCAATCATGAATGCATGACCATGAACGGTTCGCGCTGTGGGGGCTTCCAGTATGAGCTTTTGGACAAGTACGGGGCCACCTGGGGCCCATACTTGCACGGGCTCTTTGGGCAGCTCTTCGCGGTTCTGCCGCTGGCCACCATCATCCAGGATGCCATCCTGGTGATCCATGGAGGCGTAGGGCGAGATCCAGAGAAGCAGCTGGAGTACCTCCAGGCAAAGCGCGATTTAATGTTTGATGCTTGCGACTGGCATCTAAAGCACCTAATAACATCTATGGGAACCGCTGTTCGGCCTGACAAGGAGTGCCAATCGCGGGAGTCTTCCATCAACCCGTGGGGTATCGAAGGAGACAAGCTCATCGATGCCTTGGTGGACGCTCTTTGGGCAGATCCTGGAGATGATGCTGGAAGCCAGCCGAATCCACGCGGAACTGGGCACGTGTGGGGTCCAGACTTCACGGAGAGATTCCTCAAGAGCACAAAGCTGAAGCTGATTATTCGATCTCACCAGGTTCCTCAGGATCAGAGCCTTGAACATCGCTTTGCCACTTGTATAGGACTCCTGCGGCCTTACGCGCAAGTAAGGAGTGGCGTTTATCTTCACGGAGCGCACAACGGCAAGCTGATCACGGTTTTCAGTGCTTCAAACTACAGGCTGGCCTCCAATTTGCTTGAAAGCATGAAGCCAGGGAACACTGCTACTGATTCTTGGTCGGACACATGCAAGCTGCTGCCAGGGGTCGCAAGAACAAAGCTGGAGCAGTACTTATCAGACGTGCTGCTTCTTCTTGCAATCTGAATGTGGTGTGTATCCTGCATGCAAGCAGATCAACCCAGGACGTTTTTGTCAGCCATTTGAGGAACTGGGGTCGCAAAACAGCAGAGGTCATGATTTGGGAATTTGCCCCTCTTGGAGGGTATTGTCTGATTCGGTGAACCTCAGACCACGTTCCGGACTGAAAAGCGATCGAGGCGGGCTTGCATGAGCAGCATGAGAGGTCGCAAGGGCAGCTAAAGCCCTGCCTTTGAGCCGTTTCGGGTTGTTCACAGATGACCATCAACATGTCGCAAGCCCAACTGATGTTTTTTTCTCCGACATTTCGGTGCCGGTGCCGTCTAAAGAGCGTTTTTGGCGGCCTTCTGTTTCGCCAGTGGATGACGAGCTGATCAGCGAGCTGCTGCAGCAGTCCATGGGGCTTCTGGCGGAGTGGCGAGTGCCGCTGTGGGAGGCATGCACGCGTGACTCTGCAACACTCGGCAAGGGAGATGAAACGTGTGAACAGGTAAGATCAGATGACATGGGATGACATGGGATGACCATAAGAGGTCAGAAGTTGAATCCGGAAAGTTGAAGGGCCGTCGGCATCATTCTCGGTGGAAAGCCTTAGATGGACACTCTGACATTCGGACGACTTCATTTGTCGAGCTTGTGCCTTCAGCTGAGGTGAAGATCCATCGTTGAAGGGAGTCATTTCTTTGTCCTCATGGAGACGAGTTTGCCGAAACACTACGAAGATCTATGCGATCGACTGGGTCTTGTTGGCGCGATTGGTGGGCGGTGCCAGCGTCAACAACATTCGGTATATGCAGACGCTCAATCGATTCGGCTTCAAGATCGCCTCTCAGGCCATCGGGGCTGGGTAGACAAATGGGTCAGCAATTTGATAGGTTTGAAACCCGTGCCACCAGAGATGTAGCACATAATTGTTCTTTATGCTCATCCCCTCCAGACAGCAGATCAACAACACTTGCTTCTTCTTGTTGGATGAAAATGCAAGACTGCAGACCACAACGATTTTGCAGTGCCACCCACGATGCTAAAGTGACTTTCAAGCCATACGGGTTTCAACCATACAGTATCTCTACGGAGGGACACCCTGAACGGCCATGCTTTGGGCAGTCGTGTTACCAAAGTGAGAGACACAATTTGACAAAGCAATCAACACACCTGCCGGTTTGCGCGGTTTTTTGAGGGATTTGCCTTTTCTTGGCCTTCCAGGTAGTTGAGAGCGAGCTGGCGAGCTCCGTGATGGCATCCATCTACACAACGATGATGCGAGCAGATGAGTCATTGCATCAGCTCATGGGGAAGCTTTGCCAGGCCAGGACCCAAGCGGTTGCTTTTCCATCGACTGCCTTGCAAAGCAAAAGTCTGGTAAGTCCCGCGCTCGTGTCGAGTCTCAAGCCAGGCGGGCAAGCGTGCGGCCCCAGCGAAAGATCTGCTTGACGGCCGGGACTTCGGGAGAAGCAGTGAGCTTCGTTGTCGTCGTAGCGGACAGACATTTTCTTTGTTCAAGACCTCAGACACCTTCGTCATTCATTCAAATGGTAGACATTCGGCGAAAGGCAGCAGACTTGCTTTCTCGGCTTGCAGGCTTTGGGGAAATCCTTCGCCGAAATGGTGTGTCAGGCAAGATCGTCAGTGTTGAGCATGCCAAGCTTGATGTGCCAGGGGTCACACATAGAAACATTGCGCCTGATGTCTGGGGAACTTTTTGTGACATCGCACACGTTTGCTTCTCAGTTTGGCAGCGATCTTGTGTTTCTTTTGGATGTTCTTGTTTGAGATGAAAGTGTTTCGTTCTTCGCCAGAAGGCGATTTGACCGCAGGCCCCGAGATGGCTGCGGTGCGGCGCAGCTTGCAAGCGCACATTGGCGACGCGCCCGAGTCCTCCATTGACATCGCCGAGTTCCTGTCCGCCTGGAAGTGTGCAGCAGGCCTTGCCTTTGGCCATTGCGAATGCGAGGTCGAGTAATTGTAAATGAAATGCTTCCAGACCACGTCAAACGTAAGACCGCATAAACCACGCAAACTACATAAACCACCAGGAATGCAAATCCCCACATTAAAGAAACCATTCCTGAAGCCGCGCCGGTTCCGTTCGGTGCGAGGCGTTCGGGCAGAGCTGGAGGGAAGGCAGATGGACCTGGCCTGTCAGATTTCGAGGCTGCTGGGCTCCTCTGCCCGAAGATGGCGCAAGAGGCGCACTGTCCGAAAGCTAAGAGGCTCTCAGGGTGAAGGCCAACCTGGGCTCGAGTTGGGCTTAAAGGCTTTTTATAGTATTCTTGGAAACCCGATTCAGCCTGATCATTGCTTGAAGACTTGATAGCTGGCAGACATTGGCACAGGCACGGTGACAGATCGTCATTTGAATCAACTGTGCGCGTGAGGCTCAGCAGCCTTGGTGCCGCCAATTCAAACACATTGCTCCTTGGCTTCTCATCACACCTCTTTTGGCATGACAACTTGCCGACCAGCTGGCTTTGCGCCTTGGATATAGTCCGCGCCTGCTCTGACAGAATTGTATGGGCCTGTGCTTATAGCATCATGGCAAGGATGGACTTTTTCAATTTGGCAGACGTGGATCGTGATGGATTCTGGTCAGCAAGTTGATCACATGATTTCATGCGTGCCTTTGGAGCAGACTCCTGTTGATTGGAAATTCTCAGGACTAGACATCCACCCTTGTCCAGAATCTGAGGATTTGTGTCAATTGATGAAGGCTTCAATGCATTGATGAAGCACCTGCGGCAGACGACTGGGCGGGAGGCAGGCTGCCAAGAATCTACACGTGGGACAGCTGCTTGCTACGTTGAAAGCCGCGCTCTCTGGATTCAGAGGTGCTTCCATCCATTGCGGAAGACCTGCGCGGGCTTCTTCAAATGGCAGACAGCACCGGCTCAGGTCAGCAGACTGTAATGAACATGAAATGAGCTGTCCTTCATTTGATATGCGGCCATGACATAAAGAAAGTCCCCCTCGTTCCGCAAAGTGCTGCATGTCCATTCCCAGACACGCCCATTGCCTCGACTTGAAAAATGCCAAGGCAAGCTCAACTATCTGGAGTTTCTGAGCCTCTTTGATTTTCAAGACCCTCGCTCTTTGACGCACCAAGCTGTGCTGGACCTCTTATGCTTTCAGGCAGGTGCTTGCATGTCATGCCGGACCCAGGATAATCTTTCTAGGCTCATTCTTTGCCGAGCCATGGCTGCTTGCTCTTGGAAGCCGACCATTCATGAAGAGGGAAATTTTCAAAACGAGCAGCCGTCAATTGATGCGAAAGGGGCTCTGTTTTCCCCAAGCGGGTTTGCTGTTGGGTTCTCTATTCTTTCAAAGAATTGCTCAGCCACAAGATGGTTTGCTTCTGCTACCGTGCTGTCTCTCCGCTTGTTTCCCCACTTGTCTCCCCACTTGTCTCCCCGGTCGTCTCCCCACCTGCTTTCCAACTTGTCTCCCCACTTGTATCTTCAGCTTTTGCCCCACTGTTTCCCCGCTTGTCCTTTCTGTGCTTTTGTCGGGGAAGTACATGCCCCTGCAAAGCTTTCTCCGTGTAATCTGTCTCCCTTGGCACGAAACCAATACAAGCTGCAACATGGACTGGTCAAGCCGGCATACCAAGAAGACTTGAACCCAACATCCACTCCGAATGACGTGCTTCTCAATCTTGAGATCATCACCAAGACGCCCCATCTACTACTCCACTACACTCTCAAAGACAAGTGTTTGGAGGATGGCAAGAGAAAGAACCAGGAACAGGGTCATGCTATTCACATTCGAGCAGTTGCACAGCACTTCAGTTCAAGCACACTTGAGGATACGCCGATACGCCTGTGTGTTTCATCCAGGTGTGAATTCCCCTGGCGCCAGGTGTGGGTGCACCGCAACGCTCTGTCCGGGCTGTTCCGCTACATCGGCACCAACGGGGTCATCAGTCGGGAGCAGGTGCGGTGGAGCTTGGAGGCGCTGAACACTTCGGTGCAGGGCGACCTGCTCCAGGCTCGCACGTTTTGTGGAGTTCCTCATTTTTGACCCGCAGCCACATGTGTCCCCATAACCTGGAATTTGTGTGAGTTTTTGCTGCAGAGGTCATCCCTCTTTCTCAAGAAGTGCCGTTTTGTCCGCCATTTGTGCTCACGCATAAGCGAGACCATACATGTGGAGGCTCCTTGGTCCATGTTTCGTTTGTCCCACAGGCCAACATCGACCAGATTGTGAATGCGGTCAAATTTAAAGATGATGTGGTTGCTGGAGAGGAGTTACTGAGTGCTTTTCAGCTCGTGGACAAGCATGGCTGACAAGCTACACGAACAGGACGTGTCACCTTTGAGCCGGCTGACACAAAGCATGGTCAGATTCCGGAAGCAATATTTTCCGATACAGTTGCGGATGACGCGAGTGTTAGTCAAGAGAAGCGCGATCCCTGCAGGAACCTTCAAGTTTCTTTCTCTGCAACTCGTGTAAGAGGTGTGTATTTCGCCGCCAGGTCTATGTACCTCAAGGATTTCTGTGGAAGTACATGAAGGGCGGCACCTCCCATTCTTGCGGCATCACCAATGAAGGTGTCGTGGCGACAACGGTTGTGTTCCGTGTGGGGTATTGCTTGTAGCACAATCCACGCTCATGCCGGTCATTTCTAATCTTGATTGAGGTAAGGATCAGATCCAAGGGCAGCCACCTGTGCCATTTTGTATTTGGCTTGAGGTCGAACATTTTGCTGGGGTCGCACACGAGAGGGCCAGTGTGACGTCCCACCCGGATACAGCCGCTCTGCCGCACTTGCACCATGAAGTCTCTCCCAGCTGCTTTCAACATGTTTTGCGAGCGGCAGTTTTGCATTGTTTGAGCCATGAGACGCAGACTGAGGTTTCCAGCAGCTCACACTGGGAGAGGTGAGAACACATGTTGCACTCTGCTCGCGATGAGACACCGGAAATACTTGCTAAAACCTGAGTGCTGGCAGGCGCACACTTGTGGCATCACAGAAGCAGCAGAGCTGCTGTGCTGGGGCTCCCCCACAGACAACGGGTTGGTAGTGCCTCGTTTTTTCATTCGAAGGCATCTTTCTCGCAAATACTGCACATCCCTGGGATGCTTAGGTGCCACCTGGACACACCTGGAGCCAGGTAGCTGCTGGAACGGTCTCCACGTGTGGAGTGAACACCACGGGCAGCATCCTTTGCTGGGGTAGACAAGGCTTGATGCGATTGACGAGACTTGATCACCTGGTTGCGCCACGGCAGGCTATGGCAGGAGAGAGGTTCCGTACCTGGACAACGCTGATGTGCGCTGGCAGGAGCCTTTGCTTGGCTAATTCCAACAGCAACTTGCGCACATCTGTCTTTTGAAGCGAAGCGCTTGCTACATTTGCAGCATTCTGTTGACGATGTTCTTCTCCTGCCTCAGAAGATGATCCATTTTATTTATCTTTCTTGCACTGGCAGGAGGTGGCTTGTGGTGACCGGCACTGCTGCGCCATTCTGACAGTAAGTGCGGTGCAGGCCTTGAGCCGCCGTCAGGAGGAGCGTGGGGCTGGCAGTCATGCCGCATGGCTCAGTCCCATACCGCATGTGAAGGACAATGTGCTTTGCTGGGGCGATGACTTTCACCAACAACTCCAGGTGCCTGGAAAGGACCGATTAGTCTTGATAGCAACGAGTCTTGCCGATACCGGCTCAGTCAATCTTTCCCGATGCAAGGAGCAGGGGCGCACGGGAGGTCAGGAGCTGGGCGTTGACAGCCGAGCCAAGCTGCAAGCATCTTGAGACAGCATCGAGAGGGGAATTGTGTCTCTCGCCGAGCAACGGCCAGACTGAACACTAGCTTTTCGGATCGCAGCTAGCATTGGACGCAAGGTGAAAGAAACACTGCCCCGGCTTCCAGGAGAGCTTTCGCAGCATCTCCGCAGGGACCTTGTTCACCTGCGGGCTGACCCAGGGCTCCGAGGTTTGGTGCTGGGGTCGCGTGGCTCAATATGGCCAGGAGCCCAGGATTTGGCAACTCTCGGATGTCGATGCGATACGCTTCAAGGTCTGAATTTCAGGACCCCGAAGAATGCCACTCTTCTGAGCGCGGGTGGCATCCATGCCTGCATCTTGGATGTGTACCAGAAGGCGAGGCCGCAAACTTGAACGCGCCCTTCGACTCGAGCGTATTTTGGCAGGCGCACTGCTGGGGTGGCAACACTGAAGGCCAGGCAGATGTGCCCTTGGACTCCGATACATATCCGCCGGGGCCTCAGACTCTATCTGAGTCGAGCCTTGGTTTGATTTGTCTCTTGTTGGTTTTGATTTGTCTCTTGTTGGTGGGTACCGAGAGGATATTGCCTACAGACTTTGAGAGCAAGCACTCCTATCTCCAAACTGAAGCACGCAGAATATGTGAACTGCAAGGCCATCGATTGTCGAGTTTGCAAATGATCCTTTGGACATTTCGGAGGAGGAGCAGTGCCCTGCTTGCTCAGAAGCATATCATGAGTCAATAAAGTGTGACACACACACACACACACATCAGGACCCATCGATTCGGCTGAAGGAGTACATTCCAGGTTACAGCCAGCCTGCAAGGACCAATCAGCACATCACCATGGCTGGGAGCCCAAGAGGGCAGCCCCTTCGTCCAAGCAGAACGGTAGCAACTGGAGGTAGGCTGTTCTGCACTGAGTTTCTCATTGTATTAAAGAAATCAATCCTTGGTAAGATAAATACTAAATGAAGACTCTGGTGCCTCAACTGTTTCTCAGCTCAGCCGTCACATCTCTAGGCAATTTTCTTCCCCGAATTTGCCATGGTGGATACACCGACGCAGGAAGCTCAAGTTGCCGCGCAGAAGAGCTCGGTTCATCCCTGCCTCCCTGTAAACCCCTCGTCTCAGGCTGACATTCGAGTACATTGACGGCCCGGAGGCAGGGATTGAATGAAGCGGCCCACTCTTTAGATTCTCAGAGAGTCTCCTTTGAGGATCCATATTCTCCTCATGTGATCAAGTTCCCGGACTCCTGGAATGCTCCAGTCATCAACGAGCTGAAGATTTCGGCCTTTGATCTGTCGCTTTGGTATGACGTTCGCCTTGGGCCATCTCGTGGAGGGCTTAGCAACAAAGCGCGGGTTTTTGTGAGATTGCATGGCTGATGACTCCCGCCTTGCTCAGCTGCCGTGCGGAACATCACCTCCACATGGGTGAATGGCACTACAAAGCATCAGCTGGTGGATGGTGCCGCATATTCAGTGAAGCTGGCATATCAGGCCTGTGTCTGAGTGCCAAAGTTCAACCCAACTGGCGTGTGAGAGACTGGAGCTCGAGTTATTTGCATAGGACACCTTTGCACATCCTGCAGCAACTCACTGGATTCAGAGATATGAGGTGTCCGGTCCCGAGAGCTCAGACTGCTGGAGCAGCCGGAAGTCGGAAGTTGCACAAGGACCTACGACCTCGAGACACTGCCCCCAACGCTTTGGGCTCCAATGTTCTGAGCTCAAAGCGTGGATGCGGGTCCCATTTGACATGCGAAGCTAAGCGGTACCGGCAGTCCTGGAGCATGCAATGAAATGCGGGATGGGTCAAGTTCTTCGCTGAGGCCTGGGTTCACCAAGCAAGCTTTGGCGGTGGGCTACTCCTTGCCCGAGGTTTGCCCGATTGGGAAGTTGTGGCAAGCAAACCCAAAGATGCAGTGTTTGGAGCGGTCAGGACATGTACTCTGAAGCTGTGTGGATCACAATGACCTTCACTGGCACTCTTCCCGGCTACCTCCAGCAAGTAGAGGACTGTATCGTGCTGTATCAGAGCCTTGATTCTTGTTCACAGTGAGCAATGCAGTGCACTGACACTGAACAATGACTGCACCGCATTTCACGCATCTTTCAGGACAGCCAGTCACCATACGAGATCCAGCTAGTGAAGGATGCAGAGACAAGATAGGGCCACTCTCACGGCGTGAAGTCGTCAGATGCTGTCAGGAGATGGCAGTCCAGGGCAACTACTCTTTTGAGATTAGTCTGGGAGCCCTCTATGAGACTTTGGATGGCAGGACGCTGGGTGCCGCCCGCAAGCATTGCAGTGCGGCGTTCAAGCTTTCAGCGGGTCTTCCTTAAGTTGCGGTCCACAGGTCAACACAGCTGACCAATCGTATCAATGGTTAGCCTCAGCAACTTGTGTGGACAGATTGAAGTTTTGCTGAGGCAGAAAATGCTGCTGCAAAGCCAGGTGATTTGGCTTCTAATACTAAAATAACGCACATGCATTTGCAAGGCTGGCCTCAAGACGCACATGTCCGTATGCGCAGCCATGCGCCCAATCCATGATACTGCCGATGCACGAAACAATAGCAACCACCACACACACACACACACACACACACACACACACACACACACACACACACACACACACACACACACACACACACACACACACACACACACACACACACACACACACACACACACACACACACACACACACACACACACACACACACACACACACACACACACACACACACACACACACACACAACACACACACACACACACACACACACACACACACACACACACACACACACACACACACACACACACACACACACACACACACACACACACACACACACACACACACACACACACACACACACACACACACACACACACACACACACACACACACACACACACACACACACACACACACACACACACACACACACACACACACACACACACACACACACACACACACACACACACACACACACACACACACACACACACACACACACACACACACACACACACACACACACACACACACACACACACACACACACACACACACACACACACACACACACACACACACACACACACACACACACACACACACACACACACACACACACACACACACACACACACACACACACACACACACACACACACACACACACACACACACACACACACACACACACACACACACACACACACACACACACACACACACACCACACCACACACACACACACACACACACACACACACAAACACACACACACACACACACACACACACACACACACACACACACACACACACACACACACACACACACACACACACACACACACACACACACACACACACACACACACACACTTGTGAAATCCCCCCTCTCTCGGTCCTTGTTGTGTCTCATTTCTTCTGCGAGGGTCAGGATCAAGCCCAGTGGGCACACATGCACTTTAATTGATTGAGTGGAGTTTCGTCATCCTTGGGCCCTACTCGTCAGGGCCACAGACTAGACCCAAGGATGGCTGTGGCCTACTCCACATACTTGGAAAAGAAATGGAGAGTCCGGATAGCCGGCACCACCTCGACAATTTGCAAAGACTTCCAGCTTGCGAGTGTGACAAAGAACTCAGATCAGCCCTTGGCAACAGGGATGGACACACACAATCAGCCACGCGGCACTTTCGCCATGGACATTGCAGCCTGCGCAGAACCCAAATCCCACCGCTGGCCCCAGCCGGGTGTGTAAAACGCCCGCGGGCCAAACTAAAATGAACAAGACGTGAAAAGGCTCCAAACCCTGTGACCTGTACAGAGCCAGACGCGCCGCAGTCACCGCGACTTGCAAAGAGAATCGCAAAAGGGCCAAAGGGATCTTGCGCAAAGCGAGGAAAAAGAAAAAGAACAAGAAAACAACAAAAAGAACGAACAGATCCGAGATGCTCCACTAACGCCGGGGCCCCGGCCGGGTATTCAAATCACCCGCGGGCCAGAAAAACCGACGGTTTGCTGCAGGTCTAAATGGCGAATTGCAACGACGGCCTAGACAGCAGCAAAAAAAAACCTCGGGGGGATTACGGCCTCTCAGACCCAATGGGCATGCTGGTTTCTGAGGCGATAGACATCGCTGGCAGTCTCCGTTGTGCTTCACAGCACTAGCCATGAAATGGCAACTGAGTGGGAAGACTCCCAAAGCTTGGCGGACCAAAGGCAAGTTCCAAACAGACCTGGGGACCTCAAGGGTCAAAACTGACATCTGAGGGTCAGCTGAATGACCAATGCTGCGCGCGAGCCGATGGCAAGGCTCAATCAAACACAGTAGGCTATCCTACCGCAGGCAGCCCGTTAAACGAACTACTGCCTGGATCACACTTGTGAAATCCCCCCTCTCTCGGTCCTTGTTGTGTCTCATTTCTTCTGCGAGGGTCAGGATCAAGCCCAGTGGGCACACATGCACTTTAATTGATTGAGTGGAGTTTCGTCATCCTTGGGCCCTACTCGTCAGGGCCACAGACTAGACCCAAGGATGGCTGTGGCCTACTCCACAAACTTGGAAAAGAAATGGAGAGTCCGGATAGCCGGCACCACCTCGACAATTTGCAAAGACTCCCAGCTTGCGAGTCTGACAAAGAACTCAGATCAGCCCTTGGCAACAGGGATGGACACACACAATCAGCCACGCGGCACTTCTTTCGCCATAGACATTGCAGCCTGCGCAGAACCCAAATCCCACCGCTGGGCCCCAGCCGGGTGTGTAAAACGCCCGCGGGCCAAACTAAAATGAACAAGACGTGAAAAGGCTCCAAACCCTGTGACCTGTACAGAGCCAGACGCGCCGCAGTCCCCGCGGCTTGCAAAGAGAATCGTTGCAAAAGGGCCAAAGGGATCTTGCGCAAAGCGAGGGAAAAGAAAAAGAACAAGAAAACAACAAAAAGAACGAACAGATCCGAGATGCTCCACTAACGCCGGGGCCCCGGCCGGGTATTCAAATCCCCCGCGGGCCAGAAAAACCGACGGTTTGCTGCAGGTCTAAATGGCGAATTGCAACGACGGCCTAGACAGCAGCAAAAAAATACATCGGGGGGATTACGGCCTCTCAGACCCAATGGGCATGCTGGTTTCTGAGGCGATAGACATCGCTGGCAGTCTCCGTTGTGCTTCACAGCACCAACCATGAAATGGCAACTGAGTGGGAAGACTCCCAAAGCTTGGCGGAACAAAGGCAAGTTCCAAACAAACCTGGGGACCTCAAGGGTCAAAACTGACATCTGAGGGTCAACGAATGACCAATGCTGCGCGCGAGCCGATGGCAAGGCTCAATCAAACACAGTAGGCTATCCTACCGCAGGCAGCCCGTTAAACGAACTACTGCCTGGA